TTAGCGGGATTCGACTTTTATAGTTTATACGACGGAGATACTAAGGAGTTAGATTAAGCTTATAATCTATATACTTTCTTCGAGTTAATAACGTCTACCTTGCTTAGCCGGAGAGAGTGTGTATAATAGTTCGGAAAAGCAATAGAATCGTATATTATAATTTGTTAATTAAGATCGTAACTATTAGAGAGGATAAGAGCTTTTAAACGATTCTACTTGAAAGAATGCTAGGTATTTTCCGAACGATCGCTCTACTACACAATATCTACAATGCTATCTATTAACAATATTATTATTATTAGTCCTCCCGGGGACGAAGGATCGTGGACTTTGGATTATCAACTACCGGCTGCTCAAATGATCGACAGCCTGTTGATTATGAATTAGCATGTGCATACATCAATCAATCAATTACTACTAACCCACCTTATTTATATCATAGTCATAACGCTCAAGAGCTTCGAGTGCCTGGCCACGAGGATAGCCCATGCCAGTCAAACGTTTCAAGATCGGATCATCGTGCTCAGTCCCTGGAGTGATTGCGCCACCTCGAGAAGGCAGCGTTTTCGACGACGAGAAGGTCGTGGGCGGTGGCGGAATTGGAATCGACTTTGGCGCCGAGGTAGCCGTTTCTGGAGACGATGCTGCTCCATTGGCTGGAGCGCCCCACGGATCACTGCGATCGAAGGATGTATCGATCTGTTTGCTGTTGTCGAGACCACTGAAGATAGCGTCCCAATCATGCTGTGCATTCTGCGGCGTCTGTTGTATGCTGGAATTGGAGCTTGCGACCGCGGCAGTTGACTGACTGGGCTGGAAGCTAGCAAAGCTGGAGTATCCATTCGAACCACTGCCTTCTGTGTGATGCAAGCTGCGATTCGCTGCAACAGGTGTCTGATTTGAGCTCGCCGCTCCAGTAGTCATGCTAGCTGCAGGCGAGTCAAAAGTTGGGTTGAACTCGTTGCTGCTCTCGACAAGGCCGAAGTCGAAATCACTGCCACTTTTGTCGGCTTCCTTCGCCTCTGCGAGGTCATCGAAAGCATCAAAGTCATCAAAAGCGTTATTCGCAGTCGGGGCCGCTGCACTTGAGGCTGTAGTACCTGAGGTATGGTTAGCTCTTCCAATCTTGGTCTTCATGTTGGCAGTGTGTGATGTCTCACTTGTGGCCTGCGGGAATGGATTCGTTCCACTTGCGGTAGCGGGCGGAGTCTGGGCAGGAGTCTGCACGCTCGAGTCTGGAGCCACTTCCCTGGAAGCTGTCGTAGCCAAGGCTGCGGGCGTGTCATGTGGCGGTGGAGGACTTGTCGGAACTTCTCTTGCCGGCAAAAGTCCACCAAATTCCGCAGGAAATTGGTTCTCCTCGGTCCTTTCTCCACTGCCGCCATGAGAAGCCTTGTTACTGTCCTCGTAAGCAGGCGGCGCACTCTGAGCGTCCAGGGGTGGGAGAGGAGTGCTCGACGTAGTATGCCCTACATCAGCAGCTGCTGGCGCGATAGCAGCAACAGTTGCCGTGGCGGCTGCTGCATTGGTCCTGGGTGGCGATGATGCAGTAAAGTTGTCATCAAAGCCTCGATCCGCGGCATCATCATCGCTGCTATCGCTGTCCTCGTCGTCATGCTCGAGGCTTTGGATTGGTGGGAACTCAGATCCGGATCCAGAAGACGCGGGCGCTTTGCTGGAGGTGGCAAATGGGTCATCATGATCTGCATCTTTTGATTTATTGCTCTCGCCAAAGCCCGCGAACGCAGAGTCGAAGTCATCCTTTGCCGCAACAGGAACCGCATTCTGTGAGGCCTGTGCTCCTGTGGATGAGGTCCAAGGGTCCTCAGGGAATGCACCAGGAATGCCTTCTTTGGCAGCAGTCTCCGGTCGTGGATTTTCGGCAAAGCTGCCTGGTACATGCAAGGACGAAAGCCCGGGAGTAGCGAACGCATCATCACGCGGTGTATCTGTTCCTCCAGCTCTGCTTGCAGGTGGCAAGACCTTAGTAGAACTTGCATCAGTCTCATTGTCCTTGTTATCTGGATCGATCACAGGGAGCTGCGAAGATGTGAACTGTCCACCTTCCGGAGGTGGGGGAGGCACAGCGACAGCTGGACTATCTTTAGCCTGGTCAGAGAGCGGCGGCGTCGCGGAAGGCGTGTGCTGGCCCGCAGAAGAGATGCTCTGAACAGAGTCAGACATGCCCGCAGGCGCGGCAGCAGGAATCGAACGCCCGACGAAGCTTGTTGCTGGAGGTGTGCCTGTGCTAGGGACAGTCTGGCCAGAGGGAGCGAATGCGCCAGGCGGACCAAACAGAGCATCGAAAGCGCTCGGTGTCGGACCACTGCCTGTCTGTTGCGGGCTGATAGCTCGAGCACCTCCCTCATCACTCGCTTTCCTAAAGAACGGATTCGTGGAGCTCAGGGTGCTTCCCGCCGGGCTCACCACGGTCGAAGCTGGCACTACGTTCTCGGAAACGGGAGCTGATCGTGTTTGCTCCTCGCGCTCGGTTGCTTCGCGTTGCAGCTCCGCCTTCTCAGCCTGCAAACGATCTCTCTCAGCTTCCTGCGTAGCAAGCTGCTTCTTGTTGATACTGACCATACCCTTTTGTTGTCTGGCATCTAGCTTCAACTTCTCGATTTCAGGCTTGAGCTTTGCCACTTCAGCATTTATTTCTGCAATGCGCTGCTTCAGGCTAGCGTTCTCTTGCTGATCCGCCTGCAGCTGCTGTGACACGTTCTGATGCTGGGTCTGCAGATCCTGGTGAGTCCCTTCAAGCATAGCGAGCTCCTGGCCGAGCGCTTTCGTTGAGTCGCGAGAGGCGGTCAGCTGCTGTTCAATTTCCTTCACAGCACGTACCTCCTGCTCGTATTGGGTCCTGAACTGGTGTAGCCGTATTTCGAGATCGCGTTTCTGAGCATTGGCCTGGATCAGCTCGGCTTGACTCGCGTTCTTTTTACTCTGTGTTTGCTCCATTTGCGATCGTAGATTGCCGATCTGGGTACTCATGTTGCCAAGTTCCGAAGTCTCATTTGTGATCTTGCTGGCTTCTGCGGCATGCGTGTCATTGTCGCCCAGAAGATCATCATTTGCTGTTGGCCGTGGTGCTCGTGTTGCTGAGGGTTGATTCGATGCCAGTGAGCTACCAGTGTTCTGCTGAGCAAGACTAGCACCAAATGCAGATGTAGGCATGAAAGGTTTGAACATGCTTCCGCCAGGCTGTTGTCCTGGTGGCGGGAACCTGGCGGGGCTCGCGCTCGCGGGACTACCAGGAGCAGGGGAACCTCCAGCAAAGGGATCCTTTGTAGCAGACATGCCAGTGCCTTGTGGTTGCAGCACGGGAGCCTGTGTCGCGGCTTGTGCCGGCTCATCAAGTCCGAAAAGGTCGTCGGCCGCCGATTTTGGCATATTTGGAGCTTGCGCAGCATTGTTAAAGGCCGGGGCTGTCGATTCAGTCTGCTGCGTCTGCTTTCGCAAGCTTGGAGGTATTAAGGCAGGCGGGAGAAAAGCCGGCAGTGGAGCAGCGTTCGGTGCTCGCTGTTGTCGAATGAGATACATGGCGACCGCAAATTCATCCTTGTTAAGTTGTCCTTCGCTGTTGATGTCAGAAAGGTCCCAGATCTGAGCAAGAGTCTCCTCGGGCAGTCTAGAGTCGGAGAAGAACTGCACAGCCTGCTCGCCCGAGATGATACCTCGGCCTTGCGTATCGATTGTGTTAAAAAATTGGTCGAACTTGGCCTTGTCCGCAGGCGTGACAAGCCACAAAGGACCGCTGGTTTGAGCTGACAGCGGCTGTGGAGTTCCATAATTGGGAGGGCGTGCGAGTGGACTTTGCGTCCGGGGAGGGCCAGCACCTTGTCCGGTTAGCTGTCTCGGAATGGCTTGTGGTGGTGGAGCAGTAGGCTGCCTGCTCGGAGGCGCCGCTCTTCTTGCAGCTGCATCCCAAAGCCCTTGAGGCAGGATATTTGGCAAGGCAGTCATTGACCGACTCTTCATGCTTGTCAAAAGATGCATAGCTACGATGAATTCCGTCTGGTCCAATGCACCGCGCTGTTCCCTGTCGGCAGCCATCCATATCCTGCCCAAGACTTCATTGGGGAGGCCTGCTCTTTCGAAGATGGCCTTTGCTGTACCTCCATCAAGCAAACCCTTTTGTGCTCCCGATCTTTCGAACAAGCCCGAGTACTGCTGGACCTTGGCTGGGTCGAGCGGAGGCACCCGGATTGGGCCTTGGCCCGACAGCTGTGGTTGTAAGGCATTCGCTGGTAATGCTCCAGAGCTCGGACTCGTGGGCGCTACTGCTGGCGCTGGCGCAGGAGCAGTCACAGTCGCAGGCGCGGATGAGCCTCCAGGTATCGTCAATCCTTCAAATCGCGGTACTGGTGCAGGTTTGAATGCAAGCTCAGCGCTGGGCTCTCTGCCAGCCTGGTAGTGCCCTATCAACCGGAGGACCATGCAGAAGCCCGGCTTCGTGAGCAAACCGCGGTTCTCCGTGTCTGCGATCTGCCATATTTCGCCGAGGACGTTTGGCGATAGATTGGTGCGCTCGAAGAAGGAGACGGCGTTCTCTCCTGTGACGACTCCCAGCTGGTCCTTGTCGGCTTGTTGGAAGAGGTAGGCGAATGCGCGCTTCTCGTCGGGACTGAGATTCAGAATAGCGTGTTCTAGATTTGACATCAGCATGCGCCGAGATGGGGGAGGATTTGTGTAGTAGAGCTGCCATTACCCGTGTCTGACATGTTGCCTAGTGGACAGCATCAAGCTGGTCGATGGAAGAGCTCTTGCAGCACCAACGACGGGACGCTATGCTCCGGCGACGAGCAAGCAAGCTGGCGTGCGATTACAAATACCGGAAGTGCAATGTCCAATGCGGATATGGGAGCAATACTCGCACGTGGAGTTGTAGGCAATTATATGGAAGCTGCTTCATGAACCGCAGATGCCATATGGGATGGCTGGTGTCCTTTGCCCTGGAGATCGAGCAGCAGGGATCATCTCAGCATCCGAGCTCCGATGTGCACAACCCACATCGTCACCAGTTGCGACCCCACCCCCGTTCCCCCATTCCCTCCCCTCCTTTCCCTTAACCACCATGAAATCGTTTGCGTCCTACGCGATCTGATGGAACGGGTACAATGGATACCAAATGAAGAATGTACGGCCGCATCCAGGGCTGCGATCGATGCGCTCGCTACATGTGTGGAAGGCATATAAACAGATCGTCCGCGAAGAACCAGTCTGATGCGGCAAAGGTTGAGGAAGATGACTGAACGCATGCTGCAGGCTGCGAGGGGACTTGTCACGTTTCTGCAATGCTTCCCATGTCGAAGGACCCAGAGCTTCTGAACATAGGCCAGAGAATGAGAAACTCATTGATCATTTTCCAGCCACATCTACCTCTCTCCCATTATCCCAAAACAACACTGCTCCCCCTGGAATATCATTCTCATTACACGGATTCTCCATACCTCCATAATCCCTCACATTCCCCGCCAAAACATCATACCCACAACTCTGATAAAATCCCTCCTTCCCTTCACTCGCTATCACCGAGCATCCCACACCTTCCTCCTTCGCCCTCTCAAATCCCCACCGAACCAACTCCCGACCATAACCTCTCCCGCCAAACTTGGAATCCACGCCCAAAAGCGTCAAATCATACACCTCAGCTCTCGACCCCGTCCAGAAAGGAACGGCAAAAGGTCCTAATCGTCCTAACACACCGAGACTTTCTGGATCCGCGGCTCGATTGGGGTAAATGAAGGATTCGAGATAGTTGTACCAATCGACTGCGGATTTGATTGAACTTCGATACCAGCTTTGTTTTGGCGAGTTTGCTCGAAGTCTTCGCCAGTGTGCGAGGCCAGTGATTGCTTCAGTGCTGTCTTCGTATGAGACTAGCACATAACTGTCTGGTCCTGAGAAGTAGGCGCTTCTTGCCATTTTGAGGAATTCTAAGTACATGTCGTCTGGGTATTGGTTTCTATGGGGATGCATGTAGATTCCGAACCTGTGATCATGATATATTAGCAAAGTCACGTGTCGTGGTCGAAAGGGGTACGAGGAGATCTACATGTGTTCGTCTTTGAATGCTGCCGCGAGACATTTGGAGGCGGGAACGAGGTCGGCGTAGTTGGCGAGTCGGACTGGCATTCTCATCAAGGCTGTGTTAAGACTGGATCTTCAACTCGGTCTCACAGCATTGGTGAGAAGGGAGATGGGTTGGGATGCATGATGAGGGATTGAGATCGGCAACATGGTCTTCGCCAAGAAGGACCAGGAGCGCAGATACGATGCTCGGCGAACATGGGCTGATGCGGTATATATGCAGAAGCCGCCTTTATATCTCGGAAAGCCTCGCTACAGTATCAGCTGCTCTGTGATATATCCGACATCGCGTTGATGGTGAAGGAATACAGCTGCCAACGATCCTATAAAAAGCCGAGTAAAGTCCGAAGCAGGCGAAGCTTGCGGACATCTTCGCGTCTGTCGCATTCATTCTCAAACATTGTTGCATTATCGAACATGGGCTGGTTTGGGCTCTTCGGCTCTGATAGCAACCATGAGCAGTCCAAGTCTGACACTCCATCGACATCTCAAAGCAATGTAGCTCTTACAGAAGAGCAGCGACTACGAATCTTCGGTCGCCCAGGACCAGCTCAAACTGAACACAAGACATCTCGCGGACACGATGACGATGCGGAATTGAACGACCTGATAAAAGCCTTCGAGGCTTCAGAAACTCCCTCATCAGATCAAAGAAGCGCGCCGTCAGCACAAGTAAAAGCAAAGGCAATCCCGAAACAACACTCCCGCCTCCTCCCAGACGGAGGTCTCGATATCTCCCCCGAAGCAGTCTATCCCAGAACAATGTCGTGTCGACAACAATTCGACCAAGCATACTACTGCCAATCCCTCGGAGGAAAATTCAACGACATTTACAGATACGGGCATATCAAGAGCTGTTCGGAACAATGGGGCGCTTTTTGGTTTTGCATGAGGACGCGCACATTACCGGATCATGAGCGGGAAGAGGAGATTAAGAATTTTTATCAGAAGAGGGATGAGAGGCGGAAGGCGGAGCATGGGTCTAGTGAGGATATTTGGGAGATCAGGACGAGGGCTGTGGAGAAGGCTTTTTGGAAAGATCCGGATGATGAGGGCGGGGGGGATGTGAGGGCGAGAGAGTGAGAGGGTTTTCTGGCGATGGAGATGATGGCAATGTGGAAACGGTTCTCTCCCCGGAGATTCGTGGTATCTTGAGGCGAGGTGCATGAGACCTCAAAGGGGCGACCGCGATGCAACATCATGCCTCCTGCCGCGAGGCAGAACGCAGATGACCAATGCTGTGTTCAGACCTCGCAGCAAGCCCGAGAAAGGGGTGTCGAAGGGTGGCATATGGTCGCTGAACGGATTGACGCGTGAGAGAGGGGTTGGGAGAGGTGTAGCAGAATCGTAGGAGAGAAGGCGATGAATTGAATATCGCAACCAGTATCGTAGTACTGATGAAAGCTACAGATACATATACATCATCATGACCCGGGTGGCCTCATGAGGCTATCAATCTTGTCGAAAAACACCAAAGTAATCACCCGTCTCCCAACGCCGTCCAGCGCCCATTTGCCTCTGTTTAGGCAAGCCGAAAAGAAACGCCAGTCAAATAATCGTCCTTCATATCGCAAGGTTCAGCTTCAACCATCTCCACTGCCATTGCTGTCTTCGGCATTACCACATCCCCGGCGCCATAAACCCATAAGGCGACCCCATCATCATACCCATTCCACCTGCAAAGCCGCCTCCCACACCCATCCACCTGTATCCACTATCAGCAAGCCTCTCGACCGCGTGCCAGGGAAAGAGGGCAATTACTCACGGGTTCGCCCCACCACCACCGAATCCTCCAGCCCACCTATTCCAGTATCTTCGGCCTCTAGGAGCCTGCGACATGGCATGTAGATACATGAGCTGTTGAAGCTGTTGCCAAGTATACTGAGTGCCATTCACGAAGCCGTTGTTGTAGCCATTGAACCAGTCTGCGAGACTACATCCATCGTATCCGACATCGAAGGCGTTGTGAAGCGGCACGCCGAGACCTCCTGTGCGAAGCTGCATTAGATCCATCGGAGAAGGTGCTTGGTGTGTTCGCGGGAATTGAGAATTTTTCGCCCTGGTGGTGGTCACAAGAATGACGTTGGAGGTCGTTGTTGCGTTTCTGGTGTGCCCAGTGCTGTATCAGAGCAGCAGATTGGGTAAAAGGTTAATATGTCTGATATCGGGCTCGTGAAGTTGGGCAAGAAGGGAAAGATGCGCTAGCAATCACAGCAGCACTTTTATACGACGCCATGCGGCCCTCGGCTGCCTTCAGTTCAGGTGGCACTGTCGCTGCAAGAGGGGAGCCGCCTTGTGAAAGCCCTGAGATGTCACCTTACCTGGCCGTGCTGCCTGCGCTGTGACAATCTAGTGCTTAAGGTAGCACAGGGACACCTGTCAGCCACATTGTTTGGACCATCGCCTTGCACGGAACGATTCCACCCTCACACTTGCAGTCGATATTGCCTTATACTGATACTTTCGAGGGCATTTCTGACCGCTGGTCGGGTACACTATCTCCTATTCGTAAGTCCGTTGCGAGAGAAACAACCAGATTGTGTTGATTCCCAGGCACAAAGGCTCGTCTTGTCCAAAGCTAGTAGGAGCACAGCGCGAGTAGTGGCCTCAAGTGGAGCTGGGCGGTCGAACAAGACAAAGCCTCAACAGCTGTACTCTGCAGGCAACACCATCCTGTCAACGAATCCGCTTCTATGCCGTCCTTTCCAAGCGCACTTGTGTGACGCTGGCAAGTAGGGAAGCAATAGTTCGAGGCTGACAAAACGGCATCCTGGACATTCCGCCTTCCGCGAGGCGTTCGACATGACATGCCTGCCTTGACATATCGCGATGCTGCGTTCCGATGTCGTGAACGGCCCAAGCATTTGCGAGATTGGGTCTCTGTGCGACCCCATTTTGTTTGCTGCTCATGTATAATTGGAGGTATGATTCGCCGGGGATCAGGAGGAAACTTCTTGTATCTGCAACCTCTCGGGCGGAGTCGTTTCGTGAACTGTTTCTGTACGATTCAACTGCATACGTGTTGTTCAGAGAAAAGCCAAGCCGAAAACGCGCGCTTGGAGCTCAGTCCGAAGCTGCCACATGGGATCCGTCGCCTCACACCTTATGCCGTCCCATACAACACCATCTTTGTTACCGTAACGCTGATCATGATCGCGTCGTACGGCCTTAAATGCCGAGTCTCTCGGCCGAACATATTTGCCCTCAAAAGTCGTCATCGTCCCTCAAACCTACCAGTCGACGCTCTGCCAACTCGTTGATCTTCTCGTTGAGTACATCACGATCGAACCTTTGCGCAACTTTTCCAGCAGCTTCCAACATCTTGCCCGTCCGGTCCTTCAGGAGCGAAGCAATCTCCAGCGCTTTCATGCCGTGCTCGTCGCCTGCTCTACACTCGGCGGCCAGGAGTTGCAGCAGTGCTTTATCGACTTCTCGTTCCATGCTGCCAACTTGTACCTTCTGCGCACTGGTGGCATTTGTGTTATCCACGAGGTCGCGCATGAGCGAGTACATGATCGATGATCGAACGTATTGTTCTTCGAGACCTCGTTGATGAGCAAGCTCTTTGTCATCATCGGTCTCGTCGGGCACAGGTGCTGCGATGGGGATTCTGAATTCGAAATCGGACAGCAAGGGCCGCGGGAAGTATGGATATTGCTCTCCGCCTTTGAGAATGATGCAATGGAAGCGATCATTTGCTACTGCGACCGGCCAGTAGCTCTCTTCCTTCTTGCCCCCAGCCAGTCGATCCAGCGTTCGTGTGTCAAGAAGTGGTATCCATTTGGCCTGGCTCGGCGTCCTCCAATGCTGCAAGACCAGAAGAACACCATCGCTATCGTATATGCAAGGATCGCCGTTGTCGCTGAAGAACACAGATCGTAGCTCGGTCCCTTCTGTGAGAGGGACAATGTCTTCGCTTTGATATGTCTCATCTCTTTTCACGTTTTCGATCGTGTAGAGCAAACGAGTGGTACCGTCACCCCCAACGGGTCCATTTCCAATTGTGATGATGTAGTCCCTCCAGCTTGCGCAAGTCACAGCAGGAGTGGACTTTTGACGATACACCTTAAGAGGCAAGCCGAAAAGACTGTATACGCGTACGTAACCAGCAGAAGTCGTCGCGACTACACAAGTGTCGCTCAACGAAAGTGATGTCACTTCTTCGCCAGGAGGCAATTCAGTGCGCCAATCTACGCGGGTCGTCCAAGTCTCGTGTGGCCGATAGTAGATGACGGACGGATGGTCTCTTGCTGGTGAGCAGGAGAAGAGAGATCCCTTCTCATTCAGACAAGCTTTATCGTAACGGAAAGGGTCTGTGAAGTGGAAATCGCGATGTGCTTGTCGGTCATAGAACTCAACAGTCACAGTATGATGTGTGTCTTGGTTCACGGTCCAGACAAAGCCAGTAAGATTGAGGCAGAGGTATCGTCGGTTACCTTTCCACGGCGTGCTGCCAGGCTGGAATGCATCGTGTACCTGCGGCTGCCATGTGCTGTAGGCAGCACGTCGTTTGGTCGCCGGTGCGTCTAGAGGCTCTGCGTTTCTCTTGCCATACCGGTTGGGTTCTTCAGCGTAGCCGGCTCCGTCATCGTCCTCGATGAAGTTATCGCCAGTCTCGGACATCATGTCGGGGGCCATTGCGTCTGCACCAAGTAGATCGTCCAGGTAATCTTCTTCGGCACTTCTCCCATTTCCATGCTGTTTGCCTCCAGTCGTCCATGCCTTACGCGCGTTGCCAGACACTTCTGTTAAAGCTGCACCGTTGAGCGGAGCCTGCTGTAGACCGGCCCGGAGGAGGCGAATATGGGCATCCGGCACAAAATCTTCCCGAATGAATAGCTCGCCATTGTTGTTGGTGTAGGAAAGCACGTTGTCTTTTGGATGCCAATGAATGTCCAGAATCGGATCACGAACATCGTCAAACGTCTTCAAGACTTTCTGGGTCTTGCTATCCCACAGAACCAAGCTTTTGTCTAGGTCGGCAGTGACAAGCAATGCACCATTGGGAGACCATGCCGCCGCGGTGACTTGCGCCTTGTGGCCGCCCGAGAAGATCTTGTGCTTGGACCAATCGCTTCGCGACAGAACCTGCATTTCTCTGCTTGAGGTCGGGAGAGCAAGAGCGCTCCCGTCAGGGTGCCAGATCGCTCGAATGCTCTCCTCAGAATCCGATTGCACCATCCCGATCAGGCCATCAACGCGCTTGATCAACTGAGGTTCTTCCGAGCTGATGGAATACATGTAGATTATGCCGTCGGTGCAAGATGCTGCTAACGTCGTCCCACTTCGATCGAATGCGACTTGCTTCACAGATCGCAAGTGCTCTCCCAGGAAGATGACTCTGCTCATATCACTAGTGTTGACAATTTTCACATCGTGTTCGCTGGATGTATTAGCTTTCTCTGCGATTCGAAGTTCAGTGAGTAGACCTACTCGCTCGCTACTGCAACCCATTGTCCATCTGGAGAAAGTGCGAGATCACGAACAGGTGCCGTGCAGCGTACCAGAATTTCCTCCATCCGCTTGGTAACCAAGCTGTACTTCGTGACCTCGCCAGATTCAGAGCCGATAATGAAGAATCCATTGGCAGCCACTGCCGCAAGATGATTCTCTGTAGGCACATCGATGATGGCAGGCTCGTCGTCGGAGCCATGATCGAAGATTCGTACTGCTCCGTTCAAGCCTGCTGTCACTAAGTGCTTCCCATTCGGCGTATAGCTGAAATATGTTGGGCCCGGTGCATCTACCATGTAATCAGAAAATTGTGACCGATGTCTCTTTTTCACAACTCACGAGCGGGTCTCCCTCTCAGTGTCGCCATATTGCTTGGTATCTGTGGTCGTTGTTCAACACCAAGCGAGTGGTAGAAGTTGAGGAGGACGCGTCGCGTCGCGACTTCCTCGTGTTCGCGTTCTCGGCCAAGCCCGCCGGCGGTAAAACAACCAAGCAACCAGCTCTTGTTTGTTCTTAACCGTTTTTCAAAACATCGCATCGCACACTATTGCAAAACGATATCCGTCCTGAAACACATCGAATCCCATTCCAGATCTCGCATCAGCTACAGCAATATGAGCAACTCTGTTCAAGACCCGACTGCCGACGGAGGTGCAAAGGCTGCCGCTATCCCAATGGATGCTGGAGTCGAGAAGGGCAAGGGCAAGGCTCCAGCCGCTGAGCCCATGGACGAGGACGACGATGACAGCAACTCCGAGGAAGAGGTCAGAAGAGCAATGTCTTTTCCGTGCCAGAGCGAAGCTAATTCCACTCCAGGCCGAGGGTAATACCGAATCGCATAAATACCAGCAGCGCACAAGTACTGACAGGATGGTGCAGGAGAGCCAGAAGAGGCCGACGAGGACAACATGGAAGAGATCGACACGGAGAACATTGTCGGATCACGCACTCGCGGCAAGAACATCGACTTCGCAGAAGCCGCCAAGAACATGGACGAGGACGACGAGGATGAGGAGGACGATGATGACTTCCAGGACGACGACGCCATGGTAAGTACACCATCTACAAAGCATCGTTCTGCCTGTGTCATGCGAGACTCAAGAGCGCCCGCTTTCCCTACACGCGCACATCTTGCGAGACGGTACATGCGGTAACTCGTGTTCTACGCTTGATCATGAGCATGAGCGGACCTCAGCATTGATTTCGCAGCTACTCGTGTGGGCTGAGCATCTGCTAACTTAGATGCAGGAGGACTGAAGGTCCCATGATGTCTTGTCTCTTGTACCATCTCCGCTGATACTTCAGATGTGCGTCCCACGCCGGTACGTAATATTTATCATGTTTTTGGCTGAAATGGTGTCTAATTGGACGACTTAGCCAATCTCTTGTATAACAGCAACGTCGGACTACAAGGAATCCGATATGAGCCACACTGTGTAGCTGGTGAAGCATTGCCATGCCGCTCAGCCGTCAGAGACTGTTTCCAGTCGCAGGCAAACATGGATACTTCAGTTACAGCCATCAATGAAGACATGAAATGTGAAATACCATGCACCTGACTTTCATTCCGTTCTGTGCCGGTGTGTCAATATCACGCCTACTCGGCTGCGAGGGTGTTCGGACCGGAGACATATGACCGGGGTCATCATGGTCATACAGTAAGAGACTATGTATCAAACAAACGTTCTCACTTGTGCGCTTTGCATCGAGAGCGATTCTGATTCTGTGCGGGTATAATATGCAGAGCAGATGGCCTCTCGAGCGTCGGTATGTACCATTATTGTGAAGAGCTCCCAGAAGACTCCCGCAACCGGTCTCGTTGCCCGAGCAGGCTCGCGGCCACGGCACTTCTCAGCCAAGCTCTTTCACGTCCACGGTATAGCTGGGTCTTCTCGAGGCGACCTGGGACTTTGCATGTGAAAGGGACTATTGCCAGTAGCGTGCTTTCTATCGTTTCAACCTGCCGCCGTTCTCCTTCGTGCACAGAAGGACAAAATTTGAAAATGGTCCCGATATCGGCCGGCTTCCTGGGGTCAATTCCGCGCACGTTTAGCCTTTCGTCAGCTTTCAGACGACCCGATTTCGTCCGGTGGTGTCGAGAAAGCAGCATGCGATGAGCTCGGCCGAGCAATTGGCCGACAATTGGTGACTCACGGCCAAGGAAAGCGATCAGTTGTGGGAGGGTCGCGAAGCTATCGAGTTGATGATGCATGCGCTCAGATGACCGAGAGGAATGGAGACGGACGGTGACATGATGCTGTTTGTAGCCAAGCGAGAGCAGCGCGGAAATGCAGCAGCAAGGAGAGGCTGAGAGCTAAACACAAATAAGCATGAGCAGCGGCGCATGCAGCGTGTTGCGTTGCAGCGATAAGGCAGAACAGAGGAAGTGACATGTGAGAATGACTCCACGTATTCGACGCTGCAGCTTCGTCCAATTGGCAGAGAGTGAATAAGCTCGCAGTCAGCGTTGCGGTTCGTCGCTTAGAGCTGCACGGCAATCTCACGGCACTGCAGAGCGCTGAAGTCATTGTCGACGTTGCGAGATTCAGTTGGCAAATGAGAATGCGGGCCTTCTCAGCGAGACGAGCGCCGGGTAGGTGTGGCGTGGAGTCAAGGCAGGCAAGCTGCAAGTTTAAATGCTAGCCGCAGACGACTTGCAGATGGCCAGACTGGGGGAGGGACGGTGCTGTGGGATTGGTGCAGGGGGTCGGAGATGTGCGACGGGCAAATTATCTTCGCCGTGCTTCTGTATGGCCGAGCACAGGTGGAGACGGCGACGGACTCCACGTAGAATCGAATAGCGTCTGAAGACGATGAAGAAGTGATGGGCATCACTTGGCGTTGTGTGGCGACGAGCATCACCGACGTGACGACGGCTGGAACAAGGCAAGACGTAATCCAAGTCATCAATGATGTCGCTGGTTGTTTTGTGCCGTAGAACTAGCCGAGGCGTGTCAACGGGGCAGCGAGGTGAGGGTCTGAGACTCTGAGTGTGAGGGCAGGGAAACAACGGGGAGCAGACAGAATAGCTTGGGGTGAGAGCCGAAGACTGTCCAGGCTATTGCAGAGGGTGGGTGAGGGAGGGCACGGCGGCTTGGAAAGGGAGAGGTGGAGTCTGCGTATAATTGCAGCTAACTTAAGCACAAGGCCAAGGTGGGAGTGGGACGGGTGGAAGAAATGCCAAACACATATCCATACCTCTCGCCTGCGCTGCTTCATCTCTCCCTCCTTCCCTCCCTCCACGCCACACCAGTGCACCGAACAGGTTTTGGAGGATCAATTGGGTAAGTGTCGTCCCAGTCGTGTTGGAGATCCCGTCCGCCGCAATCGCATACCGCCTTGTCTTGCTGCCACGAGCCCGCCACACCCACACCCACACCCACACCCACGCCCACGTGCATCTCGACCGACGCAATTCGCTGCCCGGCATCAAGTCGTCGACATCATCTCACTCGTCGTGTCGATCGCTTTCGCCCAAGAAGCAATTGGCATTGCTTGGCCGACCAAGCTTCTCCCGCATCCTGCCTGCCCCCAGCCGAATTCTTCCGCACCGCACCACCAGCTTCTTCCGCACCTCCCCTTATTCAAGCGTGAGCATTTGCTGTCTTCTGCCCGTGCAGCCTCAAAGAATCCTCCTCACTTGCCTCCATTGTCGCCAGCAGAGAGTGGCGTTCGCTTATCAGTCATCAGTTCGCGACTTCGGACCCCATTTCAACCCTCATCCACCCTCGACACTCTCAATTGGAATCCCGCGATTCAATATCACACACACATACAGCGCTGTCGACGCACGAACCCCCGATTCCCGAAAAGCAATCAACTACTCCTGGAACCACTCGGCTTCACGCCCATAGAATGGGTCGAGTCTCCTTCGCCGACGATGTAATCGAGCGCACCATTGACGAACATGAAATCGAGGAGGAGCCAGTGAAGGTATATGAGTATCAGAACACTCCGGAGAACAAGTCTTGGGCCGGCGCTCTCCCTCTCAAGCAGGCTCTTTACGACCCAGAGCTCGAGAAGGATGCCTGTGGTGTAGGTTTCGCCGCCCATATCAAGGGCAAGGCGAGCCACAAAATCGTTACTGATGGTGAGACTTGCCCGAATGATGCTTCGAAACTATCCACATACTGATGCGGTGTAGCACGAAACCTTCTCTGCAACATGACCCATCGTGGTGCCGTGGGATCTGATGCAAGAGACGGAGATGGTGCTGGTGTAATGACATCCATCCCTCACAAATTCTTTGTCAAGAACTTTGAGCGCGAGCAGGGCATCAAGCTCCCAAAGATGGGCAAGTACGCTGCAGGAAACGTATTCTTCAAGCCTGAAGAAGAGGCTCTGAAGGATACTCTGGACAAATTCGAGGATATCGCCGGCGAACTCGATCTGCGAGTGCTCGGATGGCGAGAGGTACCAAAAGACAGTACCCTCCTCGGTCCAGCTGCAAGCTCCCGTGAACCAATTATTTTGCAGCCATTCGTGGTACTGAAGTCGGTCTACGGTGACGGCAAAGAACCAAAGCCGGACTTTGACGACAAGTTCAACGAGCAGACATTTGAGAGGCAGCTGTATGTGCTCCGAAAGCGTGCCACCCACGTTATCGGCTTGCACAACTGGTTCTACATTTGCTCGCTCAGCAACAAGAACATTGTCTACAAGGGCCAGCTTTCCCCAGTCCAGGTCTACGAGTACTACCACGATCTGGTCAACGTCGATTACGAAGGTCACTTTGCTCTTGTGCACTCTCGTTTCTCGACCAACACCTTCCCCTCATGGGACAGAGCCCAGCCACTCCGATGGGCAGCACACAACGGAGAAATCAACACGCTTCGAGGAAACAAGAACTGGATGCGCGCAAGAGAAGGCGTGCTCTCTTCTGAGTTCTTTGGCGAGGAGCTGGAAACGCTCTACCCTATCATTGAAGATGGTGGCTCCGACTCTGCCGCCTTCGACAACGTGCTCGAGCTGTTGACGATCAACGGCGTTCTTTCGCTGCCAGAAGCTGTCATGTTGATGGTTCCAGAGGCATGGCAGGGCAACGACCAGATCGATGGCGCGAAGCAGGCTTTCTACGAATGGGCTGCTTGCATGATGGAGCCTTGGGACGGCCCAGCACTCTTCACATTCTCCGACGGTCGATACTGCGGTGCCAACTTGGACCGAAACGGATTGCGACCATGCAGATACTACGTTCTTGACGATGACCGGATCATCTGTGCCTCCGAAGTAGGCACTATCGCCATCGATCCAACCAAGGTCATTCAGAAGGGTCGATTGCAGCCAGGACGTATGCTTTTGGTCGACACCCAGGCCGGTAGAATCATTGATGATGCCGAACTCAAGGAGACTGTCTCGAACAGACAGGACTTCAGAGCATGGCTCGACACTCAATTACTGGTGATGCCAGAAATCTACAGGAAGCTCATCGAGAATGGAACAGATCTTTCTCACAAGCTCACCGAGACTGCGGTGCAGGAAGATCCGCGTCTGAAGGCTTTCGGCTACTCTTTGGAGCAGGTCACTCTGCTCCTGGCACCCATGGCAGCTGATTCGAAGGAGGCGCTCGGTTCCATGGGTAACGATGCTCCACTTGCCTGCCTGGCCCAACAACCACGTCTGTTGTTCGAGTATTTCCGTCAACTCTTCGCACAAGTCACAAATCCGCCGATTGACCCTATCAGAGAGTCGGTGGTCATGTCTCTTGGCTGCTACGTCGGACCTCAAGGTAACCTGCTTGAACTGAACAAGGAGCAATGCCACCGACTATACCTGCCATCCCCCATGCTCTCCGTCGAAGAGTTCAACGCGCTTACAAAAATTCCTACCCTCCACTCTGATTGGTCTGTCGCGACTGTCGACATCACATTCCCCAAGTCTGAGGGCATCGAAGGCTACTACAACGCTCTTGATCGCATTTGCGATGCTGCCACGGAAGCCATTGAGAATGGGGACAAGATCATCATTCTTTCCGATCGCAAGACGTCTTCCGAGCGCGTAGCAGTCTCGTCACTGCTGGCGACTGGAATGGTCCACCACCACATGGTACGCAACAAGTGGAGATCACAGGCTGCTCTTGTGGTTGAGACTGCTGAGGCTCGTGAGGTACACCACATGTGTGTGCTGGTCGGCTACGGAGCAGACGCCATTTGCCCATATCTCGCAATCGAGTGTATCCTCAAGCTTGATCGTGAAGGTCTCATCCGCAAGAAGCTGAGCGGAGAGCAACTCATTGAAAACTACAAGCACTCCTGTGATGGAGGTATCTTGAAGGTCATGAGTAAGATGGGTATCTCCACATTGCAGAGTTACAAGGGCGCCCAGATCTTCGAAGCTCTTGGAATCGACGACAGCGTCGTCGACCGCTGCTTTACTGGTACCGCGACTCGTATCCGAGGAATGACGTTCGAACTCATTGCTCAGGATGCTTTCGCTTTGCACGAGAAGGGGTTCCCAAGCCGCAACATCTTGGAGATTCCTGGTCTTGCAGAGACAGGAGAGTACCACTGGCGAGACGGTGGCGAGCCCCACGTAAACGACCCAGTGTCGATTGCAAATATTCAGGACGCAGTCCGCATGAAGAACGACAAGTCCTACGAGGCCTACTCACGATCTGAGTACGAGCAGATCAAGAACTGCACCCTTCGTGGTCTTCTAGACTTCGATTTTGAGGCTTGCGCACCCATTCCAATCGAGCAGGTCGAGCCATGGGTTGAAATCGTCCGTCGGTTCGTCACTGGCGCGATGTCTTACGGATCCATCTCTATGGAATCCCACTCCACGCTCGCTGTCGCCATGAACAGACTTGGCGGCAAGTCCAATACCGGAGAGGGTGGTGAGGACCCAGAGCGAAGCTTGCCCATGCAGAATGGTGACACTATGCGATCTGCCATCAAGCAGATTGCTTCTGGACGATTCGGTGTCACGAGCAACTATCTTGCTGATGCCGATGAGCTTCAAATCAAGATGGCTCAAGGTGCCAAGCCTGGCGAGGGTGGTGAGCTGCCTGGCCACAAGGTCTCGGGACCAATTGCAAAGACTCGTCACTCCACGCCAGGTGTCGGTTTGATCTCCCCACCTCCTCACCACGATATCTATTCCATTGAGGATCTCAAGCAGTTGATTTACGATCTGAAGTGCTCCAACCCGAGATCGCGAGTATCAGTCAAGCTTGTGTCTGAGACTGGTGTCGGAATCGTTGCCTCTGGTGTGGCCAAGGCCAAGTCTGACCACATCCTCATTTCTGGACACGACGGTGGTACTGGAGCTTCTCGATGGACTGGTATCAAGTATGCTGGTCTGCCATGGGAGCTTGGTCTTGCTGAGACCCACCAAACGCTTGTGCTCAACGACTTGCGTGGCCGTGTTGTCGTGCAAACTGATGGTCAGCTACGTACTGGCCGCGACGTTGCACTTGCTTGCTTGCTGGGTGCTGAGGAGTTTGGCTTTGCCACAACTCCTCTTATCGCCATGGGCTGTATCATGATGCGAAAGTGGTAAGTACTTTCCCTTCCAGATCCATCGATCTCGAGCTAATTCTCTGCAGTCACTTGAACACTTGCCCGGTCGGCATTGCCACCCAGGACCCAGAGCTTCGCAAGAAGTTCAAGGGTACTCCAGAGCAGGTCATCAACTTCTTCTACTACGTCTCGAATGAACTCCGTGCCATCATGGCCAAGCTTGGTTTCCGCACTGTCAACGAGATGGTCGGTCATACCGAGATGTTGAAGGTCCGCGAGGATCTCAGAAATGCGAAGACCGAGAATATTGACCTGTCTTTGATCCTGACACCTGCGCACACGCTCCGATCCGGAGTTGCTACCTACAACGTGCGCAAGCAAGACCACAAGCTGCACGTCCGTCTCGACAACAAGCTCATTGCTGAGTCCGAGTTGGCTCTCGAAAAGGGACTGCCATGCCGCATAGAGTGCGACGTTGTCAACACCGACCGAGCTCTCGGAGCCACCCTCTCTTACCAGATCAGCAAGCGATATGGTGAGAAGGGTCTGCCACACGACACTATTCATGTCAACATCCGTGGCTCTGCTGGCCAATCTTTCGGAGCTTATCTTGCTCCAGGTGTCACGCTCGAGCTTGAGGGAGACGCAAACGACTATGTTGGCAAGGGCTTGTCTGGCGGTCGCCTCATCGTCTACCCGCCGCGCTCAGCAGTCTACAAGGCCGAAGAGAATGTTATCATCGGTAACGTCTGTCTCTACGGTGGCACCCTTGGTACCTGCTTCTTCCGCGGTGTCGCCGCCGAGCGTTTCGCCGTACGAAACTCCGGTGTCACTGCCGTTGTCGAAGGTGTTGGTGATCACGGTTGCGAGTACATGACTGGTGGTCGCGTTGTCGTCCTCGGCAGCACTGGTCGCAACTTTGCTGCTGGTATGTCCGGTGGTATTGCGTACGTGCTTGACCTGCATCAGGACTTTGAGGGCAAGGTCAACCAGGAGATGGTTGAGCTGTCTGGGTTGGAGGACCCGCATGAGATTGCCTTCCTGCGCGGTCTCATTGAGGATCACCACCACTACACCGGCTCAGAGCTTGCCGCTCGCATTCTGCTTGACTTCAACCGTGCTCTGCCACACTTCGTCAAGGTCCTGCCGACTGATTACAAGCGTGTCCTCGAAGAGGAGGCCAAGAAGCAGGCCGATGCTAAGAAGGCTGAGTATCCACTTCCAATCCTTCCTGGAAATGCCGTACGCAATCTCCACGAGACCTCTCGTGAGCATGAGCACGCTGCAGAGAGAAAGAAGGCGAACTTGGCCGATCTTGAAGAGAGCGTGCCAGATGCACAAGCCGAGAAGAAGCGTTCTCTGGTTCTTGACAAGACCAAGGGCTTCATGAAGTACCAACGACGATCAGAGAAGTATCGTCCGGCCAAGACTCGTACTCGCGACTGGGCTGAGCTCAGCACTCGTCTGAACGAGGACGAACTGAAGTACCAGACTGCTCGTTGCATGGACTGCGGTGTTCCGTTCTGTCAATCCGATACTGGCTGTCCTATCTCCAACATCATTCCTAAATGGAACGAATTGGTGTTCGCAGTAAGTGCCTAGCCCTGTCATTTTGTGCGAGATGACTGTTGACTGACTTTTCTTCGTGTTTCTAGGGCCAGTGGAAAGACGCCTTGAACCGTCTGCTCATGACAAACAACTTCCCGGAATTCACTGGACGTGTCTGTCCAGCGCCATGCGAGGGTGCTTGCGTTCTTGGAATCAATGAAGACCCTGTCGGTATCAAGTCCGTCGAGTGCGCTATCATTGACCGCGGCTTTGAGATGGGCTGGATGGTGCCAACGCCACCCAAGTTCCGCTCCGGCAAGACCGTTGCCATCATTGGCTCTGGCCCCGCTGGTCTTGCCTGTGCCGATCAACTCAACAAGGCCGGTCATACCGTCACCGTTTACGAGCGTTCTGATCGCATTGGTGGTTTGCTCATGTACGGTATCCCAAACATGAAGCTCGACAAGAATGTCGTCCAGCGTCGTGTGGACTTTATGGCTGCCGAGGGCATCAACTTCAAGACCGGCGTATTTGTCGGAGAAGGCGAGATCACTTTCGACTCTCTGCGCAAGGAGAACGACGCGGTAGTCCTTGCCACCGGGGCCACGGTGCCTCGTGATCTGAAGATCCCAGGTCGCGACTTGAACGGCATCCATTTTGCCATGCAGTTCTTGCACAAGAACACCAAGTCTCTGCTCGACTCGGAGCTTGCCGACAACGCCTACATCTCTGCCAAGGACAAGAACGTCATTGTCATTGGTGGAGGTGACACTGGAAACGACTGCATTGGTACTTCCGTTCGCCACGGCGCCAAGTCTGTTATCAACTTCGAGCTCCTGCCTCAGCCACCAGCTCAGCGCGCCAATGATAACCCGTGGCCGCAGTGGCCACGTATCTACCGAGTTGACTACGGTCACACCGAAGTCAAGACTCACATGGGCCGTGACCCTCGTGAGTTCTGCATCATGTCCAAGGACTTTGTTGACGACGGCAACGGCAACGTCAAGGGAGTCAACATCAAGCGCCTGGAATGGACCAAGAACTCTACCGGCGGCTGGGATATGAAGGAGATTGAAGGCAGCGAGGAATTCTTCCCAGCCGAACTGATCATGATCTCCATGGGTTTCTTGTCCCCAGAGGAGAAGGTCACCGGAGGACAGATCGAGCTCGATGGTCGCAAAAACTTCAAGACTCCACCTGGCAAATACACCACCAACATTGAAGGTGTGTTCGCTGCTGGTGACTGCCGTCGCGGTCAGTCACTCATTGTGTGGGGTATCAACGAAGGTCGGCAAGCTGCCCGCGATGTCGACTCATACCTCACCGGCGTTGGTACCATGCTGCCAGTCACTGGTGGTATTGTCAAGCGCCCACCATACGAGCTTTTGCAGAAGCAGAATGGTGCCCCGGCAGAGCTCATCACCGCCGCCGCGTAAGAAGAAGCTCCCTATGAACATTCGATCTGCGATTTGCACATTTTATTTTCCGAACGGTACCCTCGTTTCCAGATACCCTTTTGCAGCGTTACGTGAGTCGATAGAGGCCAGCATAGCAGCATCAAGCAAGCAAGCAAGCAAGCACGCAAGAGAGAGAGAGAGAGGGAGAGAGAGAGGCGGAACTGTTTGTACGATGATGACCTCGCTACGAAACGAAACGGAACGGAACGGGAAAATGGAGGACGCGGATGGATAATCATTGACGATCGTAATGAAATCACAAAAAGAGCTAGCAAAATGGGAAGAATCAAAGGAGTTGAATTGCGTTTAGGATGGATGAGTTTGAACATGTTGCGATGAATTAATTGTGGTTGCTCTTGCGTTTTGCGAATCAAAGAAAGAAAGAAAGAAAGAATTGGCTGTCTGAAATACTTGTTTTTGATTCTTTTTTTTCGATTGCTGCTATATATATATGTACACGGAGAGAGAGGAAATTAAGTGTCTACTACATATGAGAGTAGCACTTTGTTTTTCAAATACATCTTTCGCTCACAATCTCCTCCTCCTTTTTTCATCATCATCATCGTCATCATCATCATTATACAATAACAAAACGACTCGCTTGCCTTTTGATCATACATCATCCCCCTCAATCGCCTCAGACAATCGCGAAGTCTTGCTCCCAACCCCAAAACTATTCCTCACATCCTCAGCTTTCGCACCCTCGGTCAAAGCTTTGTGCGCTTTCAACAATTGATCGATTCTATTGGCGGAAGTCTGTTTGTGGAGAGTGTTGTTGTTGTTGTTGTTGTTGTTGTTGTTGTTGTTGTTGTTGTTCAGGCTGGGGTTTGGAAGGTTGTTTCTTCCTACGAAGGGGATTCCGTCGGTGCTGTAACGGGAGTCGGGTGAGGTGCTGGGTCGAGTTGAGGTGTCGCTTGGACTGCGGGATTTCGGATCGCGGGAGGTTTGTGGGCGGCCCTGAAATGCAAAGTTAGTGGGTGATGCTTGGGAGTTTGTAGGCTTGCTTATTGTTACCTGTAGCTCGACATCGTGTTTGCCGTCGAATCTGTCGAGGTATGTGAGATAGGCTTTCACGGGCTCCCGTGGTGGGTCGTGGATTTCTAGGCGGACTTGGTTCTGGCGGTCATGGTATAAAATATCAGGTGTGGGCCCGCTTCCGTTTGAGGTTCCTGTTGTGTTTGTGCCGGTTGTGTTTCTGTTGCTGGCTCGATTCCTCCAGGATGCTTCGAATGAGCGTTGCTGTCTTAGTTGATGCGAATTGTGTGATGTTCTTTGCACGACAGGTGAGTCTGCGCTTTCGCTGCTTGAGCTGTATTCGCCAGATGCTTTGACTTGATCGTATTGTTCGGTGTCGATGTGTCCTTTCTCCATGTCTTGTGTGTCTGCGTTATCGAATATTGCTGCTGAATCAATGGTCGGTTCTTGTGAGGCGCTTCGGAAAGGCGTGCTAGGATCTTGGGAAGATCTTTTCGATCCTTTCGATCCTGTTGGTGTTTTGCTTCTCGTTTTATGCCAGCACCTTCGAACCAAACCGGCTGCAGCAGGCATGCAGCAACAGACTTGGCTGAGATAAGCCTCGATGCTGCTGTACAGTCCAACGTAGCTGTAGTAGTAGGTGAAGTTTTGGTTGGTCGTGATTCCGTGAAGGTAGAATACTCGCACGATCGACATTGCTGTGACAGCGAACCCGACCAGGAAGACTGAGCAGATGCTGTCGCTGTCAGCGGTATCTCATTGTTCGTGGCACATAGTACTCACCCAAGTCTTTTCGGCTGTGAAACTTTCCATTGACGCAGCTTTGGAATCGGCAGAAGTATAAGAAGAACATCGAAGCCGATTCCCACTCCTGCCAGTGCCCACACCCAGGTCTGTCGATCGATGCAGCTGCCTTGGGCATTTGGGTGCACGAATGTCTGCCATTGCGATGCTATCGGCAGACATTGAGCGATCGCAACCACTTGAAATGCAACAAGAGCAGAAGTCAGCAGCATAAGGGTAAGCCAGCATAGGTTGCGGAAGGTGTCGCGGGCGTGCCAGGTTCGCAGGTAGAGTAAGACAAGCGAGATCTTGGTTCCAAAGATGACGAAGGTGTACATGTTGGTGCAGATGTAGGACCACTAGAAAGTCAGTGTGAGCAAGGATTTCTCGGGAAAGAGAAGGATCTCAGCGCAAAGCTTACCATGCTGAAGTGTTCCACATCCGTAGCTGTTAAACCCCAAATGTCCTTGCCTTTGCCGTAGTGTATTGCAAAATAGTCGCCAGCAGTCATGACTGTCAATGGAGCCAAGCATATCAATGCAACCAAATCGTCGCGGCTGAATCCCGCTCCGTTGAACTTGGACCATCTCGAGCAGCACCGGAAGATTGTGAACACAGCGGCGACAGCGAAGAAGGTGTAGGCCACGGCGGCCAGAAGAGTGCCTCTGTCTCGTACGGGAACATGGCATGTGCTAGTCTGAAACTTCTTTGCGGCCAGTTGATGGGCGAAGGAGCAGGCAGATGATATCAGACAGGCCTCGACTTCGGTCTGCAGTCGGTTGTTGTTGTCGCAGAAGCATGATTGTTCTGGAGAGCAGTCGTATCGCAACAGCGTCTGATTCAAACATTGTATCTGGTCCCGGTCAGCTTGACACGCCACGCACGCTCCTTCCTCCGCTTGACGCTACGTACCACGCAAGGAGACAATGCCTCCCAGGCCGAAAGATCGACATCATTCTGTGCCAACACTCTGCTCTGCCAGCCCGCAGCAAGCACAGCAAGCCAGACGACTACAGACCTCATCTTGAGGGTCTGGCGGCCCAGGGATGGGATGGGGAAGAGAAAGTGCTAAGTATCTTTGTGTCTGTCAGCGAGACTTCGGGATCTCACGATTGTTGCTTCTGCGAGCTGTCCTCGACTCATGGTCGTTCGGGCTATGAAGTCGTGGCGCATAAGAGCGCCGATCTGTGCCATATACCGAACATGTATTGAGGATGCTGTATACAGTGTAGTCAGTGTTGTGGGAGTCGCAGAATAGAATAGCAGATCGAGTTCCTGCGCCAACATGATGTGCATTGGCAGCATTATGTGTGTTGCACTTCTTCTCAATGGCTGCAAGGTAGGCATTCGTTGGATGCGTCTCCTGGCTCTCACGATTATCATTGTGCTGGTAACGGCGTGCGCGAGTCGTGTGAGGCTGGGAGGTGACGCAGAGGGCAGCCATGATCCATCAATGCGTGCGACACGTCTGTCGCTGACTCGGGACTCGGGTGCAGTCACAACCACGATCATCGCTTCCCGGCACTCCCCGCTCGAGCATTTACCGACATGCTCCCGCAGCGACAAGTTTCTCATCAGAAGCAGAATGGGAGCGGAAGAACAGCGGCAGCCCAACGCGTCACGAGAATTGCCAAGCGCCTTCGCTCGTGCTGCGTGCAGGGACTTGTAGAAGACGCCTCATCACGAGGGCCGCCGGACGAGGCACTTCTACTAGTAGGAGCAGGAGCGTATTCTAGCGCGCGGCCGACAGCGAATCTCAGCGCTCGCTCGCTTGCGCAATACCATGAGATGCGATGCGATGCGCTGTGTGGTAAGATCTCATCTCATCCCTCTCGTCTCGTCTCGTCTCGTCTCTTGATGACTTTCCCAATATGGACACCACTCACTACATCTTCTCCCCAGTGACCGCGACGGACCGCGCAGGTCTCGCCTGGGTGGCCGCCATCCTCAGCTTGATGTTCACCATCCTCACCCTGGCAACGCGATTCCACATCAAAGCGCATACCTTAGGACACGACGATTGGCTGGTGGCGGCAGCCACGGTATTGGCACTGGGACAGTATATTGCCGTCTACGTTGGCTTGGACAAAGGAGTTGGACGGAGCAGTACGCTCCTCACACAGACCTATGCAAGACAATTGGGCCGCGCGGTGCTTGCGAGCGAGATCCTTTTCGTCCTGTCAATCATGCTCAGCAAGCTGAGTGTCATCTACTTCATGAAGAGATTGTTTACTCGGGATCGCAGCCTCGCATGGTGGGCTTGTCACGTCGGAATTTTCCTTACCATTCTCTGGGGTCTGGCTTCTGCCCTGGCCGTGAGCGTTGCATGTGGCCCATCACGAATCCTGTACGGGCCTGAACGCTGCCCTGGAAAACTGCTACGTTGGGAACTGGTCATCAGCTTCGATGCTGCCCTTGAAGTGTCGTACGTCTTGCTTGCGATGGCAATGGTCTATCCTTTGCAAATGAAGATGTGGATCAAGTCTACAGTGGTTTTCGCATTTGCCTTTCGTCTTGCCTGTGCTGTTCTAGCAGCTTTGCATGGAACCTGGATAGGGAAGTACGTCAGATCTTCTGACCCTGGCCTTGCCATCGCAGACGTCCTTGTCTGGCAGCAAGTCTGTTTGGGCTATTCGTTGATCGCGACCACGATCCCCACATTGAAAAACTTCGTTCGAGGCTACAACCACGCCATGGGATGGGATCCTTCGTCGGAGAAAAGAGGCCTGGGAGGCGGCTACAACCTGGCATCTCTCGTGCGATCCGGCAATCGAACTGGTCAAGGACACAGCTCTGCGAACTCGAAAAATGGTGGTAAAAGTCAAGGCTCAGGGAATCGCGGAAACAATCATCTTGGCTCACAGCTTCGACGCGAGTTGGAGGACGGACAAATCAACTTTGGGCCTAGCAATGGTGTCTATCGTGTTGGCGCCTTCCACGACTCCGACGGCAAGGGCAAAAGGCGATCTGGCGCCAGTGACGAAGACTTGATCAGGCGGCATGTGAGTGTTACCGTTGAGCATGAACGGGCGGCGAGCAGAACAAATTCGCACCCTAGCGATGATTATAGTGTGGCCTTGTGAGTGAGGTGGCGGTATTAAGTACTTCACAATGACCCGGATTCGCGTCTTCCAGTCGTCTTCCACGACTCGACAGTCAACAGCTGGTCGGGTGCTTCGGCTATGACTTGAGAAACCTTGCATGCCAGACCGGTGTCTGCCTGCAAGTGAGGAAGTGGCGCTTGAGTTATGAATTGATGAGCAGTACATCCCAGGCATGGCGTTGGCGGCCTTCGCTGGTACTGTACATCTTCCAGCTACAGCCAAGACCGAAAGGCTGAGATCTGGATGGAGGGAGGGAGGGCGTCCTCTCAGAGGTGGCAGTGCTTAACACCAACACAGCTTACATCCCTGGCAACAACCAGACGAACCACGATCATATGCAAGAACAATTTGCCTTGTGCTGAAATTTCTACTTTTGTTCTGCTGGCGGCCACAATGTCTCACCTCACGTGGTCAACAGCTTGACATGTCTTGCTTGCTTGCATGAGGCAGCTGCAGGAAATCGCCTCGTTGTCCTCAAAAAAAGCTGTGACGCATTCCTCGCGCCGCCCCATGGCACTGCCGCGACTGGATCATACTTAGACGCCCGAATTTTTTTCGATTGGAATTCTCTTCTCTTGCTTGCATATCCCCCCACTGACTGGTTGAACTGCTGCAGCCCAATCCCAATCGAATCGAATAGAACCAGTGAGTTGTCTTTGCCGCAAGGCTGACGTGCAAAAGGCTGATCTTTTTTTTTTCTTTGGATAGAACGATCCACGAAGCAAATGCCGGGTCGATTCTTTCCTTCGTCGACCTATACCGACTACTACGATATGAATATGGATGCCCTCAGGGCTGATAATGCTGAGCTCCAACGAAGACTTCGACATTGTGAGCATGAGCTTCGTCGGAAAGAGAAACAGTATAGGAAGCTTGAGTATGCGTATCGCGATGTTCAGGCGAGATACTATGCTGTGCTGGAGGAGTATGAGAGGATCCGACAGAAGCTGTATCGCTGTCAACGGAGATTCTTTTAAGTACACACGCTAGCCTTGAGTTGGATGGGTAGGCGTTTGGCTGCGGCTTTGGCGAAGGGTTTCGATGCTTGTGTAGAGGGTTCTGCATTTGATATTATGATGGATCCAGGACTAGACTGTAGGACTAGGGAGAGATTCTGCCGGCGTTGAAGGAAGTACAATCGAATTGCAGAAATCTTTAGCCGACGGAGGTTGTGTCCCTAGTGACAATATACATTCTGTATTAGATGCTCGAGACGAGACCACTGTCTGCAACATGCCAACCACTGATCGAACTGTACAGCAGAGTTATGCATGGCGTTGAATTGCTTAATCGCTACCTAGGTTGTGTGTCAAACGTATATCGTCAACTGAGTGCAACAACAATGTGGTCGAAATGGCATTCGGTAGGTTGAAAAGTTAGCACTGTCCCATGGCTTCAGGTTAAGAATCTCTTGCGCTGGTCACCAGTCCGGTTGCACGGATTCGCCAGCTTGTATTGAGTCGGAGAGGCGTGAAGCTTTCATCGACCTCTTGAATGAAGCTCTCACATCAGAAGACAAGGTATAGCCGTTGGCCTGGTCATGAGGAACCTGCGGCAATGGCTACGTGCCTGAATGGTTACAACTCCATGAAGGAATGTCGTCTTAAGTAGCATTATGTGCGCTCTGCGCTCGATGTTCGAGACTAGACCACTGTCTGCAACGTCCTGACTACTGCCTCAGCTGTATGTACAGCGGAGTTAGACATGGGGCGGGTTCCTTGATTGCTGGCCAGATGGTATAGTCCTGCTTCGAGCGACAGGCGTCCAAATCCTCTTTCACGGGAGTTGGAGCAAGAGATTCTATCGAGTGTCCTTGTCTTCGACAACTCCAGCATGAGTCGATGGCTATGCCGTTGGATGGTATCGCTATTGCTTCGAACAACGTGTCTGAGCGAGAGTGCGGTTGTGAGACTTCTAATAAGCATTGGTTTCTGGCCTACCTAGCATCCCCGGCGATTCCGTTGGGCATCTCGAGAGCGTGGGCTGACCATCGCCGCATCAAATGATTAATACAACGGCTGCACATGCGTCGTGCCCATCCACTCACGACAATCGCCTTGGTTATTATTCCTGCAGTGTCATCGTGTCGTGAGCGTCAAGAGCAATAATAATTCTCCATAGCATCTTCCAGCTGATCGCCGTGACGACCGTTGCCCCACCTGCCTAGCGGCTCTTCAAGGACCTGTCGCCAAGACATGACCTCATTGGCTCGTGAAGTTTCGAGAACGATTTCACATGCGTTGCGATTCTATGAAAGCGCAGTGGGACAGTGAGGTAGGCGAGAGGGCAGCACAGTAGGAACATTGCATTAAGCAAATTCGAGCTGAGCAGCGCAAGCAAACTAGCTTCTTGCAGCCAGATTGAACGAGAAGCAAGTGGGAAGTTCCAGGTGGGACGCGTTCTTTCCTCATCATCCAAGGAAGGAAGCTTCCAGAAGAATTTCGCGCAAAAGGCAAGTACAAAACGCGCACCTTCCTGTCAAACGCAACCACCTTCCAACTCACACACACAAACAACTACAAGGCTCAACACTTCCACGAGACCTTTTCGATCACACGTACTTTACTGTTACACTTCCCTTTGATACCCAACCCTACTTCACACGAATCCGACACACCATGGCACCAGCAATCGGTATCGATTTGGGTACCACGTACTCTTGCGTGGGTATCTTCAGAGATGACCGTATCGAGATCATTGCCAACGACCAGGGTAACCGAACGACGCCCTCGTTCGTTGCCTTCACCGACACCGAGCGTCTCATTGGTGACGCTGCAAAGAACCAAGTCGCCATGAACCCACACAACACCGTCTTCGACGCCAAGCGATTAATCGGCCGCAAGTTCGCAGACCCAGAGGTGCAGGCAGACATGAAGCACTTCCCGTTCAAGGTCATCGACAAGGGTGGCAAGCCAGTCGTCCAGGTCGAGTTCAAGGGCGAGGAGAAGACGTTCACACCAGAGGAGATCTCATCGATGGTCCTCACCAAGATGCGCGAGACTGCAGAATCTTACCTCGGTGGTACCGTCAACAACGCAGTCGTCACAGTACCAGCATACTTCAACGACTCGCAGCGACAAGCAACCAAGGATGCTGGTCTCATTGCCGGCCTCAACGTCCTCCGTATCATCAACGAGCCCACCGCCGCTGCCATTGCCTACGGTCTTGACAAGAAGACTGAGGGCGAGCGCAACGTGCTCATCTTCGACTTGGGTGGTGGCACTTTCGATGTCTCCTTGCTCACAATCGAGGAGGGCATCTTCGAGGTGAAGTCGACTGCAGGAGACACTCACTTGGGTGGAGAGGACTTTGACAACCGCCTCGTCAACCACTTCGTCAACGAATTCAAGCGGTAAGTAACATCACTGATGATCATTCACTCTTTGGACATTTGCTAACGTCCTGGTAGCAAGCACAAGAAAGATTTGACTAGCAACGCTCGTGCTCTCCGCCGCCTCCGCACAGCATGCGAGCGTGCCAAGCGCACCCTCTCTTCTTCCGCCCAGACATCCATCGAAATCGACTCGCTGTACGAGGGTATTGACTTCTACACCTCGATCACCCGTGCTCGTTTCGAGGAGCTCTGCCAGGATCTATTCCGTTCCACCATGGAGCCAGTCGAGCGCACTCTCCGTGACGCCAAGATCGACAAGTCTTCCGTCCACGAGATTGTTCTCGTCGGTGGTTCTACCCGCATTCCGAAGATCCAGAAGATGGTTTCCGACTTCTTCAACGGCAAGGAGCCAAACAAGTCTATCAACCCAGACGAGGCTGTCGCCTACGGTGCCGCCGTCCAGGCTGCCATCCTTTCTGGTGACACTTCCAGCAAGTCGACCAACGAGATCCTCTTGCTCGACGTTGCCCCGTTGTCTCTCGGTATTGAGACTGCCGGCGGTGTCATGACTCCTCTCATCAAGCGCAACACCACCATCCCTACCAAGAAGTCTGAGGTATTCTCTACCTTCTCCGACAACCAGCCAGGTGTGCTCATCCAGGTCTTCGAAGGCGAGCGGGCGCGTACGAAAGATTGGGTAAGTAATTACTGAGTGGTTGATGCAACGAACAAAGCTAACTTTTGGCAGTGAGTAAATCCCTTTTCTTTTTTTTTGTAGTTTCCGTTTTGGTGAGAGCGCCTTCCTTGGACTGGGACAGCACTTTCCACGGACTGGGACAGCACTTTCCACAATGCCAGAAGCGTTGCGCTGCCGCTGCTGCCCAGTCATAGAGGCGCTCTCACCAACTCGACCACTAACGACAGCTCAACCACCATCACTTCCCCTTCACACTCACAAGAGCGACAAACTAACTCATTTTCCCACAGCAATCTGCTCGGCAAGTTCGAGCTCACCGGTATTCCACCAGCACCACGCGGTGTTCCACAAATCGAGGTTACCTTCGACCTTGACGCCAATGGAATCATGAACGTCTCTGCTCTCGAGAAGGGAACTGGCAAGGCCAACAAGATTGTCATCACCAACGACAAGGGCCGTCTCTCCAAGGAGGAAATCGAGCGTATGCTTGCTGAGGCCGAGAAGTACAAGGAGGAGGACGAGAAGGAGGCTGGTCGTATCCAGGCCAAGAACGGTCTTGAGTCGTACGCCTACGGTCTCAAGAACACTCTCTCCGATTCCAAGGCTGAGGAGAAGCTTGACGCTGCTGACAAGGAGAAGCTGAAGGCCGAAATTGACAAGACCGTCGCTTGGCTCGACGACAACCAGCAAGGCACCAAGGAGGAGTACGAGGACAAGCAGAAGGAGCTTGAGGGTGTCGCCAACCCGATCATGATGAAGTTGTACGGTGCTGGCGAGGGTGGTATGCCAGGCGGCATGCCAGGTGGGCCAGGCGGCTTCCCAGGTGCCGGCGGTCCAGCTCACGGCGCCGGTGGTGATGACGGCCCAACCGTCGAGGAGGTCGACTAAATGCTTTCAAACTTAATAGATACCACTTGAGTTGGCTGCATGGCATGGCGTTTTACCGGATGGGTTAGAGCATGGTTTTGACGAGATCATGATGGATGGAAAAGCATCCTTGATGTAAGAATTAGCGAGCAGGCCCCTTGAGTAGGCCTCAGCAATGGAAACAGTTCAGAAACAACTTCACATGTGCTAATCAGCCTCCAATTGTGGTCGAGATGTGTTAAGTGCGCGCCAAGGTTAGCAGATTTGCTACAAATAGCCTAAAATATCCATCATCAGCGCTACAACACCAAACACCGCTGTGCAATCCAGTCTCGCCGTCATTTGATTGGAGCGAAGGTCTCACTGTGGCAGACAGCACTTGTGCCCCTTGGCCTCTCATCGAGAGGCGTCAGATGCAGACTGTACTTTACTGAACTGCGAAGTAGTAGAGACAGCTGCAGACGTCTCTTCAACGTTATTCTCTCGTCTCCTCTTCCGACTCATATCTCATATCTAGTCCCTTGTTTCATTCTACTTGTTCAAGACACGGTTTCTGGACTGTGCAGCTCTGAATTGCTCGGCCGAGCCTCCTTCAGCTCGGAGATCTGCACACAGACATTCCCGCACGAAACACCACTCTCAGAGGATCAGAGCAAGGGATGAGGCATAGACGATGAGGGACTTCTTATATATGTAACAAGACAATCTTCGCAGAAGCATTCTGACCAAAGCATACCCAAGAATACAATACTTTCTCCCGACAGCACGAGTACAGGACAATGAAAATGTCCTCACCAACCCTCATCATAACAAAATTACCAAACACTAAAGTAGTCTTACACTCCAACTCCGACGACACAGTTCGATCGAGTTCGCGGGAAATCTCGGTCCCGCGTCCAGCGGCAACCAGTATAGAAGAACTACAAGACTCGCAAGTCGTCGATCCGGTCAAGCCATCAGAAGAGAGTCGCCGCAGACCAAAGTCGAAAAGATTCTCTTCAAGACCCGAAGAGTTTACTCCCATGACGTCGAAAGCACGAATGCAAGCCGATATCGATTTGAGTTTTTTGGCGACGGTTCGACGACGGAGGTGAAGATGAGCTACACAACAACTATCATGAAGTCGGCTTCGAGGAGCGGGCTTTGAGATGGATGAAAAGAAGAGGAAGTGAGTCTGACACGATGGATCCTGTTGTATAAGTGGTGAGCGGTATCATGTCTATATAATCTGTACAGTTTTCAAATCCAAATTTCTGCCGATGTCCAAGGTAGCTAGTTCTGAATCTTCCGTATACCTTATGAGATTAAAATTCGGGTAAATACTCAAATAGGACACATTGGCATAGTAATTACTCGGATAGGATCGGATTAGCAACATTGGCTGGCATTTCTCAAATGGGAATATTCTAGTATATTGATATAGACATTGGCATAGTAATTACTCGGATAGTAAACATTAGCATAGTAATTACCTGTATAGCATTATACCATTTTTATCAATTTCTATATTTATAGAGCCTTGCTAAGTGTACAGAAAAGCGGCAAAGAGAATTATACTCTAAGTAGTATACTCTAAATATCTTCTAACTAGGCACGCAGGTAGTAGATAGAAGGACATTACTAGGGAGTAGGGGAGGGAGTTAGGGGGTAGCATATAGGACGGGTAGATATAAGAAAGAGATCTAAGACATTTATATATCCGTAGCGAGTATCTATAAATATAGAAATTCTACCGATACTAACATCCTTCTACTTTAGCCTAGTTAGTACTTAAGAGATATTATCGAAGCTAGCGGCAAGCAGTCTACTCTCTCGAAGGCCCTATAGCAGCTACGTATGCGCTATATATAGCAGAAGTCGTTAGTCGAGTATTAAGAGGATGTCGTATACTATTTCTATATTCGTAGCCGCTCGCTACGAATACAGAAATGATACATTATTTCCGTTGTAAACCCTGCACATTAACGCCTACCTTCACTTTAAATAGGAAACTTAATCGACCTGTTTCCCTTTAATCGTTCGTTCTGCTATTATTAGTTAGTAGGGTTAGGTGCGGTTATGTTCGGGTAGAACTTACTTACAACTATTGTCGCATAGAGCAACAATTACTATATCTATAGTAGTTGCTACTAAATACAGAAATCCTAATAACTTCACTCGAGCAACATTACTTCGCTATAGCCTATAGCTAATTACTAATCGCCTAATCTAAGCGCAAGCCCTACACTAAGCCTTACTATTACATTAACAATGGAACAATAGCGATAGGACTCTCTCGATAGTATAACTTTCTACCGTTTCTTCTTCTTCCTCCTCTTCCTTTCTTCCTATAGATATCGTATATACCCTCTTACCCTTACCTACGATAATACCTTATATACAAGAACTACGTTAACGGTATAGAAAGTAACATAGGCGGCCCCTTCTTCTCGCTTACGGGTGCTAGTTACCCTTTCTTTAGCTAGGTATAACTAATCGCTCTTTATTAAAAGTAAGAAATTAAGGACTAATATACCCTTAGAGCTCCGACGCCTACCGCCGCCGCACTAGCCGCCGCGCTATCCTGTAAGTTCAAGTTTCTAGCTATTCGCGAGTCTAGAAGACAGTTATACTAATCGCTTACTTAGTCGCCGCGCCGCCGAGCATTTAGCTACCGCTACTACCGCCCGCCGCTTAGTTAATACCGCTCGGTTCCGGGCTGCGCTCCTACTCCTACGCTAGCGCCGCTAGCAGCAGTAGTAGTAGCAGCAACAGCAAGAAGAGTATAGACCTATCGAGTTTATTCGTTAAGTTCGTATATACTAACAGTCTACGTAGCGACTAAATTATAGTCGATACTAGTAGTAACGACGAACAAGTCTTATAAGTTCTAGCTTTCTTTCTTCTGTCGATTATCTAACTTAGTTAGAGCTTATTATTCTAATATGTCGATATATAGGTAGAACGACGGCTATGTCGTCCCGCCGCCTAGCGGTAAGGAAACTCTAATATATGTCTAATTTAATTAACTATTTAAGCTTTATAGTATACTAACCTCGGTATATAGTAACGACGACGACGACGACGACGATAATGAGGCTAGGCCTCTCCCTCCTATTACCTCCCTCTCTCCCTCCCCTCCGCCTGCTGCCGCCGCCCTGCCTGCCGCCGCCCCGCCTACCGCCGCCGCCTTCGTACTAATCGTCGCGCCTCCTAAGGCACTAACCTTCCTAAGCAAGACCCTAGCCGACCGCGCTAGCACTAGCACTAGCACTAGCACTAGCACTAGCAAGAAGCGCCGCGTTGGTCGTCTAGCGAAAGCTAGTAAGAATGTTATAGTACTTTGCCGCCTAATAGCCGTTAATTAGTAGTAGTCGGTACCGGAGAGTAAGTAGCTTTGTATATTAATCGAACTAGTGTGTATTATGCTCTTGCTAATAATGTCTTAGTATTCGAAGGCCGCTAGAAGATCTAGTCGCATGTCGGCCGCATTATAGAGATCGCTAGCCGCCGCCGCCGCCGCCTATATCTCGAGTATGTTCGGTTAGGCCTTAAGTGCTACGAATACGCGACCGATGCCTTCGGCAAGCATCGCAAGTATGCCTACTGCATTTAGGCAAATAATCCTTGTACAGATCGCGCGTCGCCGCCTTGCCTATCGTCGGATAGCGAGGATAAGGATAATAATAATAATAATATTAATAATAATAATAATTAAGCGCTAGGTTCTTTGTTTCTTTTTTTTTCTTAGTTTAGCTAGTTGTAGGTTCTCGAGGCTGCCTTGTCGAAAGACGAGGTCGTAAGACCTCTATAGCATATTATAATAGCGCGCTGCTGCGCTATTTTAAATGAAAGTTTATTGTCTAGCGCTAGCCGCCGTTGCTACTAATCGTCGTGTCCTCTCTCTTGTCTACTATTACAGTTAGCTAGTATGCGCTATACTGCATTCCTTATTGTATATCTAAGTAGCGCTAATTCGATTGAATTTCTGTATTTAGTTAGCTATATACCCGCTAGTGCCCGCAGTTATCGACTAATAGCGAATTTCTGTATCCGTAGGAAGGTGATTCTTGTCTAGTATTCCTAGACCTGTAGCTATTATGTCTAGTGCCGCTGCTACCTAGACTTGTTACTTAGCTCCTAATCTGCTGCTAGTTGTCCTAATCTTAGGCTATAGCTGCTCGTAATCTAGTTGCTTGCTACTTGCCCCTCGATGTTAATGCCGACAGTTTGGATTTTCCGTATTTATAATGTCTCTACTACGGATATAGAAAATCCAAATACGTTATTATTATTGCCTAAGGCGATACTGCGCTAGTAACTATTTAACTATCCCTTTTTCGAGCTCTTTTGAAAAGAGTACTAATGCTCTCCTTCTTAGCAGCAGTCCGAATATTAGTGCGCTAAAACCGCTCCTCTAGGGATGCCTTATCGCCAAACAGCGCAGCTATTATACTATAGTATTGCTCGTTAGCTAGGAAGATATTCATCTCTATATTTAGCGCAAACTGTACAGTCTAGCCTTCTTGTTCCTTGTATAGGAAGCCCTAGGCGTCCTTTGTAATATATCGTCGTCGCTTAGTGCGTACGCTGCGGGTATCTGTCGCCGGTAGCTATATAGGATATTGCTAGTATACACTAGTTATCCTAACGCTAAGACGACCTACAAACTCATAGATGTTGCTATATACCTCTTTAACTAAGCCTAGCTTTAAGTCTATATCCTATTCGTCTATCTCGTATAATCTATATATATCGTCGGAGTTCGAGTTCGTATATAGTAGCCCTACGATTATATCGGCGAATGCTCTTTAAAACAATAAGGCTTCCTCGTCGTCGGTAGGCTCGAGAGATTAATAGCTAGATTCTGCCTTATATTAGATATTCCGCGCCTATATAACCGCACGGCCTACGTTAGGAAAACAACTAAGGACTATAAGCTAGCTTAATACTGCACTACTATATAGGTTGACTTAGATCGGGAGTAGCCCTCTCTAGATTCTCTCGATATAAACTAGTAGAGGGATGTTATCGCGTATTACATTATCGTATAGATGTTTAAATTCTTCGATAGCAGTCTTCTTAATAATACGCGTGCCGTATTTCTGTCCTTGCGCAGACTTTGCCTTACTAGATATATAGGCTATAATGAAGTGCTCGAGCTATGATCTAATACTTACGCTTAGTAAGTCTAGTCGCCGCTGTACTATGTTCGCTGCTTCGTCTACAACCCTTTAATTATAGATTCGCTCTTCTTCTTCTTCTTACTATCGAGCTCGATATTCTTCTATAGATGTTTGTATTTTAGCTATATAGGCTTCTCTACGGGCTTGTATCTAAGCCTCTAACTAGGCTACCCTTACATCTAACTCAGCATCCGCTTACAGCCTCTTAGCCTGTTCCTTCTTAATAAGTAGTTTGTTAGCTTCGGCCTTCTATTGCTATGTAACGCCTACTTTCTTCTCTGCTTGCGTTAGCCTAGTAAACTTGTCCTCTGTAGTAAAGCCGAGTCTCCGCTCGTTTTCCGTAATTGCAGCTCTAGCATCCTCGAGTGTGAAATAATATCTCCGACTTCGAGGGGCTGCTTAGATACTAGTACGGGACGCTGCTGTACTCTATTGTGCTATTGCGGCGCGAGTTGTAGCAGTTATCTTTACCCGTTTCTGTAGGCCTAGACTAGTACTAGACGTATATGCCTTTCGCTTCTTCGTAGTATTCTATAGACGGACTATTAAGTATCTAGTTAGCTTCTTCTTAGTAGTAGCATAGAACTTGTCCATTATCGCTACTAACCTCTGCTAAGAAGTAGCTATCCGGCTAATTCCCGACCGTACTATCTCTAGCCCTACCTCTTCCTCTTATTATACTACTCTCGTCGACGCTTATTTATTTTGCTACCTAACTTTGTCGAACTGCTTACTCGTAGACTTGCGGGCCTTCGTAGTAGCAGCTTAGTCAAGCTTCTTCTAGCGTTCATTCGCTTTAGCTACTGCTAGATCTTAGTCGACTTGTATAGGAGGAATGCCTTTACCGATAGAGACACTAGACTCGGATTGCTAGAGGGCTTTAGCTATAAAGCGATCGCGATATACCTATATGTCTCGAGCGGTTATAGCCTTAAATTGCTTTAGTGTACGTCTCGTAAACATTATATCGTTATCCGAGAAGTAATCCTTATCTTTACTAGCCTCTTATCTAAGTTCCCTACGCGCTTAGCGGTTAGCATTGCTTGTATTAACTTCCTTTCGGTACCGCTAGACATAGAAGTCTACCCTATTATAGATAATAGATTACTCGAAGCTAGATAATCGTAATATCTCGTATCGGATACTGTCCTTATCGCTCTTATTACTACTTAATAGCTTGCCTATACTATAGGTGTTTTCTTCTTCTCTATTGCTGCTACTAC